ATCAGCGTGTATGAGCAGTGTATGTATAGATTTACACTCTTGCCATGGAATCAGTTTGAACCAGAAGTTTTCAGACGGTCACTCGTCCATCCACTTGTATCGTCTAATGTCGTTTAACTTCGGTGATTTGATGTAGCTGGGCCGTTGCTGTTTATTAATTGAATAAGAGAGTAGACCTTTATGACAACAATTCTTGTGTAGAATGTAGAATGTTTAGGAGGGGAGTAATGAGTGAGTAATCACCGCGATCTTACAGATCTATTGTGTGTTCCCATTTCTTGAGTTATAACGAGTCATAATTCATCATACAGTCTCAGGGCTTTAACAAAAGTCAGTATCTGAGACGGCTCCACAAAGGCCAACTCTCCATCCTCGACATTAGCCGTACATGGTGCCGTTCATGGCACGAATGGTCGTCGTCGTCTCGGTGCACTCAGTGATAAGGTGTTCTGGTGTCTTTTTTATGTAATTCCTGTAATTCTTGTGTAACAAGAAGTCAAAATTACTTGCTTCCAAAAATGTGGCTTACTTTCAAAAACCAATATCTCATAAACTAACAGTACGATTAAACATTTTGCTATTATACTGTAATAACAAACGAGCTTTTCAAAAATATATCACACAAGATTTGGTTTGTATTAAAATTAGTTGGCTACCCTTTAAGGGATGAATAAAAGAGTCGTTCTCAGGGGTCGGGTAATGCGAAAGAAATATATATTATATTTCAGAAATCTGCTTAGCTCGATCCTCTCGTGTTAAGCCACACCTAAAATTCCAAACATACGTGCTTGGATTAAGGCTTGATTAATATTTGCAGAGCTTCAGCATTTGCCATAAAATAGCGAGCAATTTGTTACAAAACCATATAAATTATATATCACTGTAATCACAAAACATCAATCTATTTCCGTATTGCAACGGAATTTTAAATTATATCTCTATTTTCCAGAAAATTTAGTCCAATCATAAGGAATATTTTGTTGATGTTTGACCATCAAAATCTTAGAGATAAAGTAGTTGTCTAAAAATGTGGTACAATACGGATGTAGTATAATCCTTTATCTTTAATTTCCTTTTTCATTTGTGTAAAAACACCTAGCCAGTTTTACATAAAACGTCAAATGCCGAAGGCTTATTTTGTTACTTTTTCGGACTAGTGAAATGGACTCTTAAAATGTACCTCATTTCTCTTCAAATACCCCCGACATGTATTTCAGATCTGCCTGAGTATTTTTTGTCTACAAGACATATTTCCAATTGCTATTATGTGTTCAAATTGTCACCCTGTATATTTCCGACGAATGGATAATCCATCGAATCATTCGACTAAAACCTTCTATAGCCCAATTATTTTTGTTCGAAGAGAAATCTCTTCCGTGAAAAGGGATTTGTCTCATAATCCTCCCCCTGGCGCTTCGCTTGTTGTTTCTTAAGTTTTTTAGAGAGTCGTCGGCGTTTTTTAGAGATTAAAGGGCTTTGCTGTGACGGAGCTGTTTATTCTTATAAATAAAGGAAGGAAATTTTACACGCCTCTGAAAATCGATCGCCTGTTTCATGCCATAAAAACAAGTTAATAGCTTAGTTTCTTTTTGTTCGCCAGGTAGATAGATTTTTTCGGCGATGGTGATCTACTCTTTTGATTTTTTTAGCATTTTGGGTAATCCGGAGAGGCTATGTTTTGAAGGAAAAGCGTTGTGTTTTGTAGTTTTTAGGGATTTAATTTAGTTATTTATGTGAATAAATAATAAACATTTATTTACCTAGGTGTATCCATTATTGGTGTATTGATTATTAGATTATCAGATACAAAACAGTGATTTATAAAGATAGATGTATGAAAATAATATATTCCATATAGAGCTGCAGAAAACTTAAGTATTTTTGAAGTGAAACTTCTTTGTGTGAAACTTCTTCGTGTCACACGGCCTTGAACGACAGACGCGAGGTGCATGGCCGTGACGCACGAGCTAGCTAGAGGAAAAGTGATAACGGCAGTGTTGCCACAACTAACCCATTCAGGGTAGATCTACCCCTTTGTAAAACAATTTAACCCTATTATCTCGTAATAATCTACTCCGATGAAAAATAATCTTGTGGCAACACTTGGTAACGATCTGTGCCATACGCGGCTAAGAAAATCACTACAATAAACTTGAAACTGTACCAACCTTGATTTCAAGAATATTATCATCGATAGGTTTGTAGCTTCTGAATAATAATAATAATAAAAAGGTTTGTAGCTTCTGAATAACGGTCTAGGCTTTGGTCTAGGTAAAGCATCTAGCTCATTTGCCAGCTCAGAATTATACAAACGATTTCTGCGAACTAGCATTAAATCATTAAACGGCATCATATATGGATATGCCGATGATACATATTTAGTATATTCAGGAACAGATCAGAACATCCTTGAAACAAGCATCAACAAAGACCTGCAAAAAGTGCAAACATGGTGCTACAACAATCTCCTAACCATAAACGAGCTAAAAACAGAATATATGACATTTACAACCACAAAACAAAAATTAAACTTACAAATAAAACTACAAAACCATATTCTACGAGAAACATCAACAATCAACTATTTAGGGTTAAAAATACAAAATAATTTGAAATGGGATGCTCATGTAGTAGAGCTGAAAAATGAAAATATATGCACAATTGCAGCTTTAATAAAAATTCAAAAATTGATACCAAATAACATGAGGAAACTTTATATCACGCACTGTTTACCTTCTTCCGATAAAAGAATTTAAACGCATTGCAACGTCAACAAAATAAAATTTTAAAATTAATATATAAATTACACAAAAGAACACCAACACACATATTATTTGATACACTGCAAGAACTAGATATAAAAGCATTAATACTTTTTAATAGCTTGCTAAATATTAAATTAAATACAAACAAGGAAGTTCAAAATTACCAAACAAGGAAAAAGTCACATATTAGATGCCAGAAAGTAAAAATTTAACACAGATTTTTTTCATTAACACAGAGACTAACAGCAAAAACAATTCAAACATTCAATAGTTTAGCAGAGAAGGTATAAAAATTGAAATTTATACAATTCAAAAAGAGGATTAAATGGTTAATATTAAATAGAACCATACACTAAATCCAGAAATCGACGACAGAAATAATTAAGAAAAGAATGCCTTCGATACCATCTGGCCAGGATCTGGTACCAACAGGTCACTGATGCCATAGATGAAGAAGGACGACACCCATATCTTCTATGATATGTATATGCTGTACATTATTTATGTGTTGTATATATGTTTTATATGAGGGAATAACTAAATTGGTTAAAAAAACACAAAACACGTTAATACACAAAGAAAGGCAGTTGATGAAACAGAAATCTCAAATGGATACCCTCCTGACAGATATGTATGAGAGTAAGCATTTGAAGAGTTTTTAGTTATCTAGCCGATAGCAAAAATTCTTTAAATCGCTCTCAAATGGATACTCTCTTTGGAGTGACTATCACTCGCACGAATTACTCTCAAATGGATACTTACCTTTAGAATTTAGAGTTAGTAACTCGCATTTTCATTGGAGGACACGGTTATATTTATTTCAAACCAATAATCAACGAGAATATTCCCATAATTTAATAAAATTACTGTAAATCACTATAAATAATGAATTGTTTGCAATTGAGCTGTAATTGGCTGTATTATTAATCCGGTAAATGATGGAGATAAGCAATTGTGATTGATTGAAATTTTATTTTAAGATGAAACTTTTATTAACAACATTCTTAGAATTCGAATGACAAGACTAGTGACATCTGTCTAAAAAAGACAGCGATTTAGAGTGACAATTTAGTTATGTAAAATTTAGAACGACAATTTTGATTATGCAAAAGAAATACATATTCTATGAGTTTACTGGCTGCCTAACGATTAACATTAATTTAAAAATAAATCCCCAACATGAATAACGAACAAAACATTTAAACAAAAACAGACCACAGACTATGGCATCTTGGTGAACATCTCAAAGCGCAACTTTGCTCCAATTTAACCATCTTCGTATCTATTACGGTTTCCGAGATACCAATACTCGTACCTCGAATTTGTAGCACCCTGTATAGAAGAATTACAGTATTATCATAGATACCCTGCGATAAGATTAAAATGATAAAAAAGGAGAGTTAATCCTTATAGAATACAACTTTAGTACCTTTGGCAGAAAACGTCGTGATGCGTAACATGAAAAAGAGACGTTCTAAAAAGATACTTTAAGCTTTTAAGAATTTATCAAGCGGCTAATGTGAAAATAACAGAGAGCAAAGCGATGTGTGCATGTAAAGAAGATTAGGATAAATTCTGGATGCTTTTTTACTTACTGATTTCAACCGGATGTAAAAAAAAACTATAAAGCCTCATTCAAAATCTCGAAATTAGTGGAATAAATTAGTAGTTTGAATTATACTTTAAACTTAAATATTTATTTACAAACGTCTAAAAATACATAATTTTATTTTTAACACAATAATATCTTAGCAACAATTTCTCTTGATGGATGATAATCAAGGTCAAAATGAGATTAAGTACATGCAAATTTTGAAGTATAATTAGTGGATTAAAGCTTCATTCAGAACCTCGCAATTAGTGGAGTAAATCAGTGGTTTCTATTACACTTTATACTTTTAGTTTACGACCATTCACAATGTTGAAAAAACATAATTAAAATTAATAAAATATCCTATCAACAACTTGTGCTAGTCAGTTGTATCCATAGAGAAAGCCTAATATTTAACTTACAAAACAATGAACTTTTGATTTCTAACTATAAATATAATATAATTATTGAGCCGTTTACTCTTGCCCACCTGTTCACACTTGCCCCCTCTCCCCTACATTTAAATTAGAGGAACAAACTTCTACGCTAATTGAAAACACTAATTTATTCGATTAATTTTGAGGTTCTGAATGAATATATCTTTAGATATTTTTTATAATATATCTCAATGATTTTTGTTACAGTTAAGAATGGCCAACAATCTCGCAGCAGCACACGGACATCATAGTCATCTCGCACCTGTAGCAGCAACCAGTCGTTGCCATGGTCCACAGAGGTAAATATTATTAAATAATCAGAATATTATTTTAATTATTTAATATATAATTCTTTAAACTGTGATTTGGTGTTATAATGGTAAAACAAAACATTAATTCACCCCATTACAGAAAAGTACCCCCCCTTTTTATATACACAATACACATGTCAAATTTAAACAATTTTGAACAAGCCGTTTTTACTTGACTATTTTAGAAAAACTGCATTTATTTTGAAATTAAAACTGAACAGGTAACAATTAACAATGTAAAACCAGGCAAATATCAACATACCTTAAGTTGTCAACTTATAGTTTAATGATTTAATGCTATTTGTTATGCTGTCTATTACGTTATAGTACCTACCTAGTATACCTTAGTGTCCGAAATGTATTTTCATAATTTAAAGCTTGTTCAAATTAGACAAAAGCCTTTAAGGTTTAAGAAATATAATTTGATACTGACAAAATTATATGTTGAGAACTTAAGGTATGATGGCATTCACCTGGTTTTGCATTGTCACCTGTTTAGTTTTAATTTACGCTTATAGTTGCATTTTCTCTTCAATTAGTTAAAAACCGACTCAAAATTGTTCAAATTTGGTATGTGTTATCAGCATACCCGGTCCTTTAAAAACTCTAGTTACAGCTTAGCTATCACATCAATAGGTGTGCCAATATTTGGACAGTTCAAAATTTGTATGCAATTTCCTGCCCGGTATATAAAATTTATATTTTTTTTTGCTAAAAAATGCTTAAAGCAAATCAAAGCATATTAGTTGAATAAGGAGGATTTTCAAACGGTTATTTTAACAAGTCACTCAAATAAAAGAACCATAAATTCTAACTAAACAAACTGTAACGTTCCACGCTTGCCCTCTACCTGTCTACGATTTTGCTTATTTGTCGCGTAATCGACGACTCTATACAGACACCCTAGGCCCTACGGATCGACCCTTGTCAACACGGACCTACTCCAGGTAAAATCACCCGATTTCCTAGCGTAATCACCCCCCGGTGTCGCTACTGTACGCTTTCTAAGTAGTGACACTCGTACAAAGGGCCAAAACAATTTTTTGAAAGTCCCTTACAGCGGACCATATAAAATATCGGCTCTAGTTTTAAACTAGTCATGGAGAAGGAACGACTGAGCGGACGTTTTTGAAACTGATATGTTTAAAGTTGTCTAGATGTTACAAAGGACTTTTAGTTTACGTCATGATATTATAGGCCGACAAAAGGGCATTTTCCATTGTCCGCCGGAAATATAAACATCTAAATTGACACTTGAATTTTTTCTTTATCGCAAATTTAGATGGAGGTCAAATAGTAACTTTTTATATTGTACTCTCTCTATTTTGAGAAAAATATGCTAATAAAATAAGAAGGTTTAGATTCTGAAAACATGTTTGCTAACATAAACTTTGCAAACGAGGCTAATACACTTTTAAAATTACCAGAGGTGATTTTAGAATCATCGTAGAAGTAGTTAAAAAACAAGATTCACACATTCCTAAAATTGACCAAACAATTTGGTTAATTTTATGTAACCTCGTTTGCAATGTTTATGTTGATTTAGTAGACACTTTAGACACACTTGAAAACCCGACCAAACATTTTTTGGACTTAGTCTTAAGGCGGACTCTCACGACTCGTGTACTTGTACAAACACTTGTCATTGGCATATACTGCCATGTCGCGTGAGCGCTTTCGTTGTGCAATCATTTGTCACTGGTCGCGCCGCGTGATCGCCATGCTTGTTGCAAAAAAATGTTGTTTACAAAGATAGTATACTTGCCAAGTACGCAAATATTGGCGTACTTACCAAGTACAAAAGTCGTCAGAATCCGCCTTTAGTTTTTGTTTTATATTTGCTGAAAATACTAAAGGCGGATTCTGACGACTCGTGTACTTGTACAAACATTTGTTAATAGCGTATACTTGCCATATCGCATGAGCGATTTTATTGTGCAATTATTTGTCACTCGTCGCGCCGCGCGAACGCCATGCTTGTTGAAAAAAAATGTTATTTACAAAGATAGTACCTATACTTGCCAAGTACGCAAATATTGGCGTACTTGCCAAGTACAAAAGTCGTCAGAATCCGCCTTTAGTTTTTGTTTTACATTTGCTCAAAATACTAAAGGCGGATTCTGACGACTCGCGTACTTGTACAAACATTTGTTACTAGCATATACTTGCCATGTCGCGTGAACGATTTCATTGGTCAATCATTTGTCACTCGTCGCGCCGCGCGAACGCCATGCTTGTTGCAAAAAAATGTTGTTTACTAAGATAGTATACTTGCCAAGTACGCAAATATTGGCGTACTTGCCAAGTACAAAAGTCGTCAGAATCCGCCTTTAGTTTTTGTTTTACATTTGCTCTGTTAAGTTCTGTTTCCTCTGTTTTTGTTTTACATTTACGCTGCTAAGATAACTTGTGTTTAGAAATGAAAAGTGGATTGTTTTATAAGCTAATTATTATGCTTTTTCTATGGACACAACTTACTATCGCAAACGGTCGCTAGGACATTCTATTAGTAGCATTTTACATATATCTAATAGTATTTAATAGTATTTTTTGAGATTGTGAATGGTCGTGTAAACTTATGAAGAATAAAACATCATTCTGAACCTCGAAATTAGTGGATTAAATTAGTGGTTTCAATTAGCGCAGAAGTTTGTTCCTCTAATATCAAAGTAAGCATTCACAACATCAAAATTAGTGGTAGTAATCTTCAATTAGTGGAAAAAGTTAAGCTTCATTCAGAACCTCGTGATTAGTGGAATAAATTAGTGGTTTCAATTACACTTTATACTTTTTAGTTTACTATCATTCACAATATTTAAAAAACACAATTAAAATGCAATTCTTGCGTTAGTCAGTTTTATTCATAAGAAAGCTTAATATTTAGCTTCTAAAACAATCAATTTTTGATTTCTAACCACAATTTCTCTTGACGGAAGATAATTAAAGGGCAAAATGACATTTCTCACAAATTTTGAAGTATAATTAGTGGAAAAGTTAAAAGTTTGATAACTTTTTCTTATACTTTTTCTTTTACTTATTTGAGATCTGTCGATCTGTTAATTTTAAGGTTGCCTCTGTAGGAATTCTTTGTAGATGGACTACCAACTGTCTTTCCATCTTTTTGGAGGTCTTCCCGGCTGTCTCTTACCCCTGGGTTTCCCTTCAAGGGCTATGCGTGGTAGCCTGTTTTCTTCCATGCGTTTTACGTGTGCGAACCATTGTCGTACAATTGAAAATGTCTACCACTAATTTTAACATTCTGAATACTTACATTGAAATTAAAGCAACAAACTTCTACGCTAATTGAAACCACTAAATTTTTCCACTAATTGCGAAGGTCTGAATGAAGAATTGTCTTTAACAAACTCTTAACTTTTTCACTAATTATGCTTCAAAATTTTCGAGGAATGTCATTTTGGCCTTTCATTATCCATCAATGGAAATTGTGGTTAGAAATCAGAAGTTTATTATTTTGTGCTTATAAATTATTAGCTTTAGTTTTTTTATTATTAGCTTTAGCTTTAAATATTAGGCTTTCTCTATGGATACAACTGGCTACCGTAATCCGTTGTTAGGATATTCAATTAATTTTAATTGTGTTTTTAAGACATTGTGAATGATTGTAAACGAAAAGTATAAAGTGTAATTGAAACCACTAATTTATTCCACTAATTACGAGGTTTTAAATAAAGCTTAATTGATACTACTAATTTATTTTACTGATTTCGAGGTTCTGAATGAGGCTTTATAATTAACACCACAAGTTTTTGAAATATATTTTATTCTGTCGTTTAAAAGCAAATACAAAAAGAAACAAAATATATAACCTGGTTAAATTGAAAATATATAGCAAAATAAAACACTAATTCAACACAATGCACCAAACACTTTACTTTTAACTGGACTCGCGTTTCGCTAACCATGTTAGTATTATCAGCAGATGATTTAAAGTGATAGTAGAAATATGTAGTTTAATTAATGTTTTAGAGAAAAACAAGTAGCCTGGTGTAATCAAAATCCATTTTGCTTGTGATCAGATGACATTTTACAATATAAATGGCTTCAAATTACGTTCTTGCTCTGTCACCCCACAAAATCAGAACAATCGGCAACATAAATTCCACATCCAGCGGAATAATTGTTTGTCACCAGGGAGCTGCTTTGACAAGTGTCCCGGCGACAAACAAGCAAACACCGCCGCCTCGCCGTGTCTGGCAAATATTTACTCAGTCCTCTGAGGTGTAAATCTGGAAATGATTTGAGGCAAACGTCGAACACGAGCACGTGGCGTTGACGTTCGGACGGACGTTATAATTCCTTTCTAATTGATTTTTTGATGGTTTGTGGATACTAAATATATATGAATTATCGAATACACATCTATATACAGTATGTCCCGGATTGTCTTTACAAGATTAAAACCTTTTTTGTTATTGACATTTTGAGAAAAATGTAGTATTCTTGAAAAAAAAAATTCTTGTTCTAAAATGGTTAATCCCGTTTATATTTGTCCAAATTTCCATACCGTTTTAGAGAAAATTAAAGAAAACATAAAATTATTGTTGAATTTTTAGTCCCAATCCTAATCCTAATTTACTCCTAATTTTATAATCCTAAAGTCCTAAATCCGCGTTTATCATCAAAACGCATTTCTATGGTAATATAATTTTGTTGTAATTATTTGATAGATTTTTATTGACAAAATTTTAATTAACGTCATAGAGAAGAACGTTGGAGAAATATCCATTCTTGATAAAAATTTTTGCTTTTTCTGAAATGGTTAATCCCATTTTTATTTTCCAAATTTCCATACCGTTTTAGAAAAATTTAAAAAAAACATGAAAATATGATTGAATTTTTTCGGTCCTAAAAATTAAGACGCGTTTCTATGGTAATATAGATTCGATTTCATTCTTTGATAGATGGTTATTGATATTATGTTAATTAACGTCATATTTGTTGCTATATTAGAATGTTAAAAAAACACAAACTTTATTTAATCTAGTGCTACGGAAAGGGTAATAATAGTTATCAGAAAATGCGATACTTGATACTTTAACAACAGCAAAAACTATGAGGTTGATCAAAATTGATAATAACTATTTATATGGCACCGTCACTTACATAGCCTACCTACTAAATTAGGTCGCGATCGGGCGACATAAACTTTTGACGTTTCTTACGTCAAAACTGTCACAGTGACGCGTGTCTTACACGGTCAAGTTCGCCTTCGTCCAATCTATCGACATACCAAATTTCATTTATATCGGACGATTTTTTGATTTGATTCATTCCCATTATCAATGAATCAAATCAAAAAATCGTCCGATATAAATGAAATTTGGTATGTCGATAGATAGTATGTCGATAGATAGTTTCGTAGTGCATGAAATGTCGTCAGAATATCATGAAATTAGCTTAAAAATATCATGATCTTCGAGCCCCATTTATATTCCTAGTTTCAGCCCCCTAGCTCACAAAGGGCCTGAGTTACGACGATCGTTACCACTTTTCCTTCCGTGTCTTGTGTGCCACGGCCGTCCCGGCTCTGTCACGCCCATCAATTTTTACTACCATCGCGCGTAAAGATGTTTCACTTCCAGAATTGCTCTGGGATATCCATAAAATTTGAGATTTAAAGATATAAATGAAATGAAAACAAAAACTAACGCACAAGAAAATTTGGTGTGAGTTAGTTAAGGAAATAATCTCATATGGTGTGGACTCTATCTGTGGTACTGAATTTTTGTCTAAGAACGCATTCGTATGAAACATGACGCATTGAAAAACACAGTACATACAATAGTAATTGATCTAATTAATATATACTTTTATGGTAATTGTCTGAAAAGGTGAAAATTTGCGAAACCGGTTTCGAAAAATTCAAATCAAAAAATATTCATTGTTTAATTCTCCATCTAACAAAGTCAATTTTAAAAAAAACGAAGAATAATGATATTATATTTTAGAAAGTTTGAAACTCGAAATTGAACACCCTCTATAGTTTAAGATTACGATATTTATAGCAAAGTTTAGTACAGACCATCTAAAGTTAATACCTAATATAATTTTGATTTGAGAACATTTCTTGTAAATTAAAAAATGGGCATTCTTCATAAAAATTTTTGCTTATTCTGAAATGGTTAATCTCGTTTAGATTTTTCCAAATTTCCAAGCCGTTTTTGTGAAAATTAGAAAAAAATATGAAAATATGGTTGTGAAAATTTCCAAAACAAAATGATTTTTTGCTAAAATTTTGAGAACCACTGGATCTTTTCTGGATTTCTTTCTTGTAAATTTAATCTAATACCTATTTTGCCATATTATTAAAAAATTATGTTTTTTAACAAAAAACTAAAAAAAATTCTAAAAAGTTTATCAAAAAATTTCGAATTTTCAATTTTTTTTTTCGCGAAAAAAAACTCATAGGCGTGTTTCTGGGGTTGAACTATACTACCAGTTAAAATATTTGTACTTATTTCTGGGACACCCTGTATAGAATTTTAATTAACGTCATACTTTTTGCTGTTTTAAAATGTTAAAGAAGCATAAAATTTATTTAGTTCGATGCTACGGAAAGGGTGATAGTAGTTATCGGAAAATGTGATACTTTAAACAATAGCAAAAAATATGACGTTAATTAAAATTAATAATAACCATCTATCAAAGAATGAAATCATAATTATATTACCATAGAAACGCCTTTTTATTTTTAGGACTTGTTGCATTGTTGTCGGGCTCGTAGAAACGTGGCAACCCCTAGTTACTGCAAGTTTTTGATAGGCACCTTGTGAAAAGAGTATTCTCCTATTCATAAATATACGTAAAAATTAAGTTTTCATTAAAAACATGATGAGCGTAATAATCATACCAGCCGAATTCTGTACTGTATAATGAAAAAATCTTCTGATATATTTATTCATCTTGGGTTTATACGGTTACGCAAATAAATTAAAATGTAGGTCTGGACGTTACCGGGTTGTCAAACCTGCCCGACTCCTCGTATGATTTATTCGAGTAATAACGCAGCAGTTTAGTGTCACCGAAAAAACTATACCGTAAAATCGAAACAATTTGCGACATCTGTTTACAAGTTAATATCGAAGGGTTTGATCCCGTTAAAAAGCACATCGAATTGCTCTATGCAAATGAGTCGAACCCTTTACGGTCTGCTGAAGGGATGATGGTCGCACATTTGTTTCAAATGACCTACAGAACAATACTTTGAATATTCTAACGCCCCAAGTTGTTCCGACTATTAAAATATTAATGTGAGAGTAACAAAATATGAAATTATGAAAAAAATAGACTCCGTCGATACCTTTGTGCAGCTAAATCTCTCTTTTCATTTAGGCCCATTATCATTGAGTCCGATTTTCGTGTGTTTTATAGAGTTTTTCGTTTATGAATGGAGATACAAAGATGCGGTTTTCACATCATTATGCTACTTTTTTATGAAACTCTACTGATTTGGTCATTTTAGAAGTGTGGTCTGGATTTTAATGTATAAGACAATGATGTAGGCAGCTTAATGGAAAATCAAATGTATTAAAAAGAGATAAAAGTTAGGTTGATACATTTCTTCTATGCAGTATTGCCGGATTTTACATCAATAGTTCAAACCGTACAAGTAGGCGTTTATGGAAAATGTTGCATCTAAGGTTGGAACCTTATTTTTCACAATTAGTTACTCATTTTATTACAGATGTACTAGATTACATTTATTGAATATATATATATATATATCATATATATATATATATATATATATATATATATATATATATATATATATATATATATATATATATATATATATATATATATATATATATATATATATATATATATATATATATATATATATATATAATATATATATATATATATATATATATATATATATATATATATATATATATATATATATATATATATATATATTATCTTCAATTCAGTGGTATACATGAAAGTTTTTAAAACAGTTTTTTTTCTACACAAATTTTCCTACAAACTTAAAAACCGGCAACACTGTATGCCGCTTTTGATTTTGTCTCTGTGTCTGTCAATCGGTCATTTATATTATTCTCTGTCTTACACGTTAAAATCCAGACCACACTGTTAAAATGAAATCGGTAGATGTTACTCATAGATTTCTTCTAGCCTTCTCAGCTTCTGAAATACAGGGCGAATTTGAAATTGCTGCATTTTCCGACCCTCTTCATATCTTGGTTGTCTTATAATTTATCGAAAAGGTGAAAAGTGAGTCCTGTTGAGTTTTTACGCAGATTTCAGTGACGTAACTGATTATTTGTTGGGAGCTGTTATTTTCAAAGTATAACTTAAAATTATATTTTTATGTCTGTATCTTTCTAGCTCTGTATATTATTTTTTATTTTAATTGCCTTCTTATGAGCTTTCTAAAAATATAATATACTCTATATTTATTTTCACAAATAAGGCAAAGAATGCATTATTTATCGTTACATAAATCACCATAGTTTAAAATAATATTATTATTTTATTTAACTTAATTTAACCAGATAATTTTGCTTTCCATCATGATATTTTAATAAACTGCACTGAAAATGAACATTTGGATAATATGCTTTCAATCAAAGTTATTGATACTTTTGATGCACTTGTGCAATCATTTCACACACAGAAACTAGGTGGAATAGCCAATAATCAAAATTTGTATTATAAATTGCTAACTTATTGTTATTGTATTTTTTTTCAGGACAGACCGCCGAATGACTTAAAGTCATCAACGATGGAATATATATACAGAAATTCTTCAATGTCGCTCTCCTGAACGTAGAAAGTATTATATAAGTTTATAGTATGTGTGTATAGTCATATCTAAGATTTTATTTTTTTTTCGTACAGTATTGAATCAATAGCTTAGTTGCCATGTATAAATAAGTAGTAGATCTTCAGAGAAACATTAACATGTTTAAATATTCATTGTTATAATTTATATTGAATTTAATATTCATTTATTAACAAATTTTGTAGATTCGAGTATATTAGTACGACTAGTAGAAGCAGTAATTTTGTTTTGCAGCTTGTACGAAAAATATCAATGTATTTGTGAACTTGGTAGATTCACTATTATTAACCAAACTATTGCTTCAATACTTTATGAGTAAGTTTTTCGTATACTTACATATTCAAAGCTGGACTATTTTCTGTAGATATTAATAACTGTTAATTTGCACAAGTTGTTTTATCTACTCAATAAGATAAGCGTTATTAATTTTAATTTTAGATTACTTGTATGATTAATGATTATAAAATAAAGTCTGTTCAACGAGACAGGGAAGCTTTCGATAAACGAGATTAAAAAAAAATAGAGAAAATACAATTTACTTTTGAATAAAAATGACAGACACGACTGTCACTGCTCAACTGTATGGTCCTCTTTGCTCCAAAAAAGGAAACAAATGCAGGCAAAATGCAGTTTACCTGTGAAATAAATTGACAGGAAACTATCGCTGTCATGTATCATTATAATACCTAGTGATGAGTGAAACTGGCCTTGGTTTTGCACAAAAAGGATCAAGACCAAGACCAAAAACGACTAGTAGAGAACTTAAGCAAGACCAAGAACAAGTTCCAGCATGATAGACTCTTGAGATCTTGCCTTTTTGACGTTTTTTATTTCAGTTTATTTCATCACTTTTTTCACAAAAAATACTTAAAAAAATAACGAAATTTTTATTTAATTAATACTCTATGATTTGTTAAATAAAAACAGTAAAAAAATTGCATTAAATTTTATGACACAACTATACTTTTTTTTTACTAAATATAGAAGTTTAATTATTTAAAAGATTATTATTTTATTTAGATATTTTCTATATAGAAAGTTTCATAAATAGTAAAAATTTTATTAAAAAATCGCAAGGATTGATCAAATCTTGCAGCAGAACTAGACTCTGCAAGACCAAGACTAGATATTTTTTAGACTGCAAGACCAAAACCAAAGAAGTCTTGGTCTTTCATTTGCTCATCACTGATTATATCGTTGGACAAACGTGATTTACAATCTCTTCTATTACTTATTTGTCAATGTGATATTGTTTTTGTTATACATTATATGTTATGTAAAAATATTTACTCATTAATAATAAATGTATTTAAAGTGGTGGACATGCGGTCTAATTCAAACTTTATTTCGTTTTCTAAAAAGGTATATTAATCTTGTCCAATATCCGATCCAATTATTGCTCCTTTTATACACTTTTTTTATATGTTACAAAAACAAAATAAAACAAAATTATACTGTAATCATAATTTCATATACAGTATATCCCCGGATTGTCATTACAAAAAGAAAAACTGTATTATTATTAGTATTTTGAAAAAAATGCATTTTTCATAAAAAAAATTGCTTGATACTATAGAATATAATCATAGTTGAAGTTTTATTTGTTTGATGTATTAAATAGATAAAAGAATACCAAAATAATTTGTGAGGAATTTTCTAAAAATTAGTTTTATTTTCGCTGATTGTTACGCTCCATTTTTTAAATATTTTCATTTTCAATTCAACACAGCCTGAACAATCGGCATTTTGCTGCTAAGTAATTTATACGAATCTGATTTCACCACACCAAAACCCCCACAATCTCAAGAAAATTAGATTCGAGTTTACCCCCGACTAAACCGGCACGCCTATAACTTTTTATCGCTAAAAATCAGGAAAAATTTGATACGGCCGGTGCGTTCGGCCCAACCCTTTGTCCCCGCGAAATCGTCCCGCTCTGGCACAAAGAAACTGTTACGCCCTTTCCCCAAAATCGGTAAAATTGCCGGCCATGTGTCGTGAATTACGACGTTTCAGATAAAGTGCCCAACGGGACCAAAGAGTTATGGGCTCTGTTTTTATTTTCGCGCAATACGAGACACGTGTATCAGGCGATTTATGACCTTTCATTCTTTGATATTGCTTTGAGATTTTTATCAAGCTTGTATATGGATTTAGAAGCTTTTATTCTCGTTTTTATTTTTATAAAAGAAGTAAAGACAATAAAGTCTTTTAGAAAATCTACAGTATCTCCAAAAAAATCCTATATTTTAGAAATATAATGTAATGACTGAACGTATCGGGCAAACATTACAGTTCCTAATAATTTAAAAGTTAAACATTTAAGTAACGGTTTGTACCTGTACTGAGTACGACTTCAGCCATAGACATGCAAATAAATTTCGTGTATGTTAACAATTCTATGTAGAATGTAGAATGTTTAGGAGGGGAGTTAATCACCGCGACCTTACATATCTATTGTGTATTCTCTTTTCTTGAGTAATAATTCATCATACAGTCGCAGGGCTTTAACAAAAGCCAGTATCTGAGACGGCTCCACAGAGACCAGCTCTGCATCCTCGACATCAGCCCTACCAAAGTTCATGGCACTAACGGTCGTCGTCTCGGCACACTTAGTGATAAGGTGTTCTGGTGTTTCCCCATTTTCCCCACAGAATCTGCATTCGCCGTTGTTTCTCAGCTTCAGCCTACTGAGGTGTTCGTTGAGGAGACAGTGTCCTGTTTTTACTTAAACCAAAGAAAATCTTTTTCTCGATCGTATTTCTGAGGAACTTTTTCGAGTGTCTTAGACCGTTGGAGGACTCCTAACCATTTCAGAGGTTACGGATGTCTTCCAGATTCTTCAGTTCCGTTTTTAACTGGTTTCGGCTTGGAAAACAAAACGGTTCTGGTCCAGTTAGTGGAGTGTTCGCTCCTTTCCTAGCTAGATCATTTGCTTTTTCATTGCCTTCTATCCCTTGGTGAGCGGGCACCTATAGTAGGAGAACTTTATTTTCTTTGCCTAATTTGTCTATGCCAAAGCATTCGATGTTACCTATGTTTAAAGCAGTTTGCCGAATGATATATTTGTGGCCTTACTGAATTAAAGAATTAACGTTAATTTTTTAATTCGTTAAATTACCTTAATTTGTTAATCTTGCATGCACGCATCTGTTAATGACAGCCTGGGAAATTGTAAGGCGTTGACAAAAAAATTATGTGGTTGTCTTAAGTAAAGTTAAATTTTCTGCTTCTGCAAAGAACTTACTATTCGTGTTAGGCTATAAAAGACAATCTTATGAACGACAATCAAATCATTGTCATTTTTCAGAATGTTTTTGAAACGTTTGATTTGTGAATGTTTCAGAATATTTTAGAACCCCTTTATTAATTATGTTATACAAACAATCTTAACGCCCCGATCATTTTCAAAGAGAAACTACGTCCTAAAAAATGCGTTCGTTAAATTCCATCTAATCGGTGTTTTCCAAACAAGTCGACGTCCTCCCATTTTTCATCGACTCCGCCGGTAATAAATCGACGCTGCCCGCTAATTTTCACCTCTTCGCTCGCCCGTTAAAAGCCTCTTAAATTTCGGCTCTTCCGATCAAACGGGAGCTCTTATTTTTAGCCGAATCCTACCCGGATCGCTGTCGCTGTTTTGACGTGTTTCTCCTGGGATCCGCGTCAAACGTAAATCTCACACTAATGGCCGGGCGGAAACTGATAATTTCTGTTGAACTTGAGAGCGGTTATCATTCTTCCGATGTTGATAATAAGTTTTCGCCTGGCGAGGAAGAAATGGGTTGCAGTCAGTGGCGGTACCTCGTTTTACCGGCAATACTAATTTAAAAGAAATACCTACTTTACGTTTATTAGATTGCAATCATACATGTAGATTGTATGAAAAGGGGGAAGTTAATCACTGCGATCTTATACAGGGTGCGTCTCAAAAGTGGCACCCGGAAATGACTACAGCTTTGGAGTTTTAGATCCCATCCTTGGTATTTTTTACTTTATTTAATAGAAAATGACACTCTGAATAGAATGACATATCATATGTCAACTTTTGATATTCCCGGTTAAAAACAATGTATTTTAAATTTCAATCTAGGCTGTATTAAAAACACTAATTTTTAATCAAGGAACCTTGGAAAAATAGATTTGTTCCTCTAATGTTTTTAGTGTGTTGTCCTGGCCGGTTAAAAGATGCCCAAACCGTATTTTTAATCATATCTCAATTTTTTAAAATGGAACGAGGGTGGCCAATTGGCTCATTCGCATATTTCAAAAAAGCATTTTTTTACGAATACCACATGCTTGGTATTTCGAATCAAATTGTCGTTATAAACCGCATGTTACAATTTCACATAAACCATATGCCAAAAAGTTAAAAGTTGACATATGATGTGTCATTCTATTCAGAGTGTCATTTTCTATCAAATAAAGTAAAAAAATACCGAGGGTGGCATTTAAAAATCAAGAGCTGTAGTCATTTCCGGTGAAACAGGAAGTGACCGAAATCAATCCTAATTTATGTCATATACTAACATACAAATCTAATTTTTTTATTTAAAAAAAATACACTTTTGAGACGTACCCGGTAGAGGTAGAAAAAAAAACAATAGACAAATTTTAAACATTATTGTTTTTCGAAGTGTTTTCCCTGAAGAGAAATGCATTTTTGCATTTGTTGGAACCAATTCTGAATGCAGTTATTTCACTCGCTTAATAACTTCAAAATTGCATTTTTGAAGGCGCTGACCGCAAATTCGCCTGGTTTTTTATCGAGTATGTCACATTAAAATCGGATTTCAATTTATTTCATTCTATGATCGCTTGCGTTTGCCGCTCGTAACTCGTCACTTGCATCGCTCGTTCATAATCGAGCGAAGTCGATTATTTAAATAATCGAGTACACTTGAGCGAATGTTCGCTCGAGTTATCCCATCACTACTGAAAATACTGAAAAATCTCTTACAAAGTGTTGATTTAAAAAACTTCGTGTTGTTAAAACTTCTTCTTCTTTCTCTGCTTATCCATTAATGGATGTTTACGACCACATTTTCCATGGCTTCCCTATCTCTGGCTGTGTGGATCAAAGTCTGTATGTTACTAATGCCTGTCCACTGTCTTTTGTCGACATTTTTTTCCGTCCCAAACCTCTTCTGCCCTCGATCTTGCCCTCGATAATCAACTGGAGACATGTGTATTTATGGTTACGCATGACGTGACCCAGGTATGCGGTCTTTCTTTTTTTATAGTGTTAAAGAGTTCACGTTCTCTATTAACACGTCTTAGTACATCCTCGTTTCTTATCTTGGCCGTCCATGGTATCTTAAGGATTCTGCGGTATATCCACATTTCGAAAGCTTCCAGTCTGTTTATGGCACTTGCTTTTAGTGTCCAACTCTCCACACCGTAGAGGAGTACCGACCAGACGTAGCATTCCACAAATCTCAACCGGAGCTCAAGGTCGAAATCGCTACAGGTGAAGACTTTTTTAAATTTCAGGAATGCGCCCCGGGCTTGCTCGATTCTGCACTTAATGTCCCTGTCAGATGGCCAGTCCTCGTGAAGCCCAGCTCCCTGGTACTTGAATTTTTCGACTCGTTCTATGAATTTTCCGTATGTTAAGCTGACGTCTCTAAACTCATCCACCTCTCTCGTGACAACCATGAATTTTATTTTCTTTGTGTTAATGGCAAGTCCCATTCTTTGACTACATTCTCCTACCATACTAACCAACTGTTGTAAATCATCCATGTTATCCGCGTTTGTTAAAACTAGCATATTATAAATTAACATATAACAATATATCACTGCAGTCGCAATTTTCAATAAGTTCATTTTATTGAATTGCTTTTACAATCCTATAAATCGGTGCCACCACGCTTAATATTTGAGACGTATCGAATTTTTGGGAAATCGACCAGTGTGCGACTTGTCGAAGCGATTCGATTATATATTCATGCGACCCACCCTCCCGGCCTCTCGTCACGTGGCCACCCATGTAGACACGTGCAAAATACAGGCACCGACCTAATCCCGGGTTAATTGGGCGCCCATCAATGTCCGAAATCCCTTTCTGTCGCGCAAGACGTTAATGGAATCGGCGACGCGTGTTTTTATCATTAAACGTGCCCGATAACGGGATCTAGCTTTTTTTAATCCCGGTTTTGTTGTAAATAAACGAACCTCCGCTTAGGTCGTGCAACGTGATCAGCCAGGAGGAGGGCTAAGGCAATTTACCACTGCTCTAAAATATTAAACATATTAATAATATTTCATCAACTGCTAATCAAATGCGACTGAATAAGGTTGTAGATTGTATGAGAGGGTGGATGTTAATCACCGCAACCTTGTAGATCTATTGTGTCCCCCTTTCTTGAGTTATACAATCTCAGGGCTTTGACAATCCTTTACTATTTTCTGTATATGAAACGGTTTTATAGAGGTTAGTTATCCATTTCTGATAGCAGTCGTAC